GAGGAAAATAAAGCTGAGTAAAGGAACTAGAGAGTGCTGTTGGGTGAAGGGCTGCTATTGTTCGTAAGAAATTCCAGGAAAGCTTCTCTGAACAGATGACAGCTGAGTAGAGACATGAAGGGAGTGAGGCACACAAATATTTGGGGGATTAGCATTCCCAGCGAAGGGTAAAACTACAAAAGTCCCAACAGTAACATAGTGAGTGATGTGTTTATAGGGAAATAAGGAAGACAACACAGGTAGAGGAGAATGAGCAGGGAGGATCCTGTCTGGCACTGAGTCAGAGAGTTCACAGGACAGGACAGGTACGGCCTTGCATATCACGGAGAGGACAGAGATGGAACCCACTGGAGGGTTGAGCAGAGGAGTGACAATAATCAGTTTTCACTCAGGCTGCTGGGTAGAGAAGAGACGTCAGAAGGTCAAAGGTAGGAAGAAGCTACTGAAGTAATCCAAGGGAAAGTTGAGTGTGGCTAGAACCAGGGAGGCATTGTGATATGGTCAGTGTGATGTCTTTTAAGCAGGATTTGCCAACAATTTCATGTGTGTAAGGGAAAAGATCCAAGCAAGACTAAGGACTTTGGCCTAAACATTTTTTTAAAAAAGTTATATGATGATATGGAGAAAACTGAACCCATAGTGAGTTTGTGTTTTTATTTTTAGTTTAAATTAAAAAAAAAATCTTGTTTGTATTCATTGTCTAAGGGGAAATATTTATTTTCTCTCTACCAGGTTTTCATAATCACCATGTAGAATGACCAACTAATGCTGTATTTCTTATCAAAGGTGTTTTGCTTTTGCCTGCTTCAGCATATGGCCAAGTAACTACAGACCTGAGTCATTTAAAGAAAAATCACCTCAGAAGAGTCTGATCTAAGTAGAGCTTACCAAGTACTGTGGTAGAGGGTCAGTCAGACAACATTTAAATCAGGGTGAAGTCCGGCCAATGTTGCTCAATGGTTAGCATCAATCTATGAACCAGAAGGTCACGGTTCGATTCCCGGTCAGGGCACAAGCCCGGATTGTGGGCTTGATCCCCAGTGGGGGGCGTGCAGGAGGCAGCCGATCAATGCTTCTCTCTCATTGATGTCTTTCTCTCTCACTCCCTCTCTGAAATAAATAAAATCCAGTGTGAAGACCTTTACAAATATATTTCAGGCCAATAAAAATTAGCTCCCTATTTTATAAAGAAGAAAGAGCACAGAGAGTAAAGATGATAAATCAGATAAGGGTAGGGATGGATAGGTCTACAAGCACCTAGGAAAAAGCCATTTTATTTTCAGAATGAATGTTGTTCTAATGTCTAAGGAGAGTTGGTCAAAGTTAAATCTTAATTTTGGATTGCACTTTAATTTACAGTTTGGATACATATCGAGGACAATATTATCATCCTGGGTCCCGGGTGCCAGAGGGAAGCTGGTGCCGGCAGCCAGGGGGGAAGGAAGGCCTACTCTTGCACGAATTTGGTGCATCAGGCCTCTAGTTAAAAAATAAAGTGCTATGAGGAAAATAGAGCTGAGTAAAGGAACTAGAGAGTGCTGTTGGGTGAAGGGCCGCTATTGTTTGTAAGAAGTTCCAGGAAAGCTTCTCTGAACAGATGACAGCTGAGTAGAGGCATGAAGGGAGTGAGGCACACAAATATTTGGGGGACTAGCATTCCCAGCGAAGGGTAAAACCACAAAAGTTCCAACAGTAACATAGTCAGTGATGTGCTTATAGGGAAATAAGGAAGACAGCACAGGTAGAGGAGAATGAGCAGGGAGGATCCTGTCTGGCACTGAGTCAGAGAGTTCACAGGACAGGACAGGTACGGCCTTGCATATCACGGAGAGGACAGAGATGGAACCCACTGGAGGGTTGAGCAGAGGAGTGACAATAATCAGTTTTCACTCAGGCTGCTGGGTAGAGAAGAGACGTCAGAAGGTCAAAGGTAGGAAGAAGCTACTGAAGTAATCCAAGGGAAAGTTGAGTGTGGCTAGAACCAGGGAGGCATTGTGATATGGTCAGTGTGATGTCTTTTAAGCAGGATTTGCCAACAATTTCATGTGTGTAAGGGAAAAGATCCAAGCAAGACTAAGGACTTTGGCCTAAACATTTTTTAAAAAAAGTTATATGATGATATGGAGAAAACTGAGCCCATAGTGAGTTTGTGTTTTTATTTTTAGTTTAAATTAAAAAAAAAATCTTGTTTGTATTCATTGTCTAAGGGGAAATATTTATTTTCTCTCTACCAGGTTTTCATAATCACCATGTAGAATGACCAACTAATGCTGTATTTCTTATCAAAGGTGTTTTGCTTTTGCCTGCTTCAGCATATGGCCAAGTAACTACAGACCTGAGTCATTTAAAGAAAAATCACCTCAGAAGAGTCTGATCTAAGTAGAGCTTACCAAGTACTGTGGTAGAGGGTCAGTCAGACAACATTTAAATCAGGGTGAAGTCCGGCTGATGTTGCTCAATGGTTAGCATCAACCTATGAACCAGGAGGTCACGGTTCGATTCCCGGTCAGGGCACATGCCCGGATTGTGGGCTTGATCCCCAGTGGGGGGCGTGCAGGAGGCAGCCGATCAATGCTTCTCTCTCATTGATGTCTTTCTCTCTCACTCCCTCTCTGAAATAAATAAAATCCAGTGTGAAGACCTTTACAAATATATTTCAGGCCAATAAAAATTAGCTCCCTATTTTATAAAGAAGAAAGAGCACAGAGAGTAAAGATGATAAATCAGATAAGGGTAGGGATGGATAGGTCTACAAGCACCTAGGAAAAAGCCATTTTATTTTCAGAATGAATGTTGTTCTAATGTCTAAGGAGAGTGGTCAAAGTTAAATCTTAATTTTGGATTGCACTTTAATTTACATACAGTTTGGATACATATCAAGGACAACATTATCATCCTGCAAAGACAGAAACAATACTTCCTACTGAGTCATGCATCACAATCTATTTTTCAGTTTTTGCATGAGTTTGCCTACAAGCACAGGTTTTAAAAAGAAAAGTTTCTTCAAGTAATAAAAAAAGACGACAAAACTTTTAAAAACCACATGTATACTAAATATGTATATTTACATTTTTTTTCTGAGGCAATAAAAGAACCCAGTAGAGTGGAGAGGAAGTGCTCACTACATTACTGTCTGTTCAGTTTAGAAAACTTCAAAGGAACTTCTAAAGCCACCTCTTTGCAGCAGTGTCACTACAGGGAGTTGTCCATTACTGGAGAAAATTCTAGCAGCAGTTCTTCCTTCCGCGGAGACCTGCCTTCCAGGAGGGAATACTAATGCTCTCTCATCATCCCTGACTGTTTGAAGATTGAATAAGGAGAAACAGAAGCTGCTTCAGGAGAAAAGAGAACTTCACTGATGGAGCAAGAAAGCACTTCCCTTTGGCCACATTAAAATTTTTTCATATTTGCCCTAGCCGGTTTGGCTCAGTGGATAGAGCATCAGCCTGCGGACTGAAGGGTCCCGGGTTCGATTCTGAACAAGGGCACATGCCCGGGTTGCAGACTCCATCCCTAGTAGGGGGCGTGCAGGAGGCAGCCAATCAATGATTCTCTCTCATCATTGATGCTTCCATCTCTCTCTCCCTCTCCCTTCCTCTCTCTGAAATCAATAAAAATATATTTTAAAACAAATTTCATATTTAGAATGCAATGATAAACCATGAAGAGATCATAGGAACTTTGAATTTTATGCAAAAATGGTGGAAACCCTGCAAAGAATTCGAGGCCCCTGCCTGGATGGTAGAGGAAACCAGGGCAGGCAGGGAGGGACTGGGCTACTCATTCTCTTTCTCTAGCCAGGCTGGGACCTGGGAACAGAGCCAGCCCAGGCAGTGCAGCTGCAGGCTGCGGTCCTGGGACCCATCCCACCCTTGGGCTTCCACACAAAGTTGAAGCCCCTCTGAGGAAAAGTAACACCACCAGGAAGAGAATCCTGGTAACTCTGGAGACTGCCTGGCCCAAGTTCAGTTTGCCTTATTTAGCAGTGTAAACATTCTTCAGGAAGGTTTGTATCCATGCAGAAACAATGGGGAAATAGCTACACAAACTAACCCATTTCAGTTTTTAAAAACATTTTTAGCAAACAGACTGTCGAATCTCAGAGGGAAGGTGGGGCTGGGTGGGAAGAGATGAACCAAAGAGCTTGTAAGCATGTACGCACAACCCATGGACACAGACAATAGGGTGGGGAAAGCCTGGGGCAGGGG